AATACGAGATCAATACCAAAATCCTATCTCAAGTATTCAGTTATTGGGGAATTCCCTATGGTGGACTTGTTTGCAACCAGTGCCAGCAAGAAGTATCCACAGTACTGTTCTCGTGCGGGATTGGAATGCACTGTCATGGGGATGCATTCACAGTAACATGGAGCGCGCCACTATCATATGTGTTCCCACCAATCCCACTTCTCCATTGGGTTACTAGAAACAGCCCCCGCAACTGCCTCCCTCCCTCCAGTTTTAGAATATTATCCCTCAAAACCTTTGGGGCTCTCCTTCAGCTCTCTAAAGGTTCATCTGGCCATGATAACCACCTTTCAGCTCCCAATAAATTGGTTTTTACCCACTCCATCACTAAATGCTTTTTGAAGTGGATCCAAAATACTTATCTACCCACAAAACCCAGCCCTACCTTGGGACCTCAATCTAGTGCTTGGGGTGCTAACTCGCAAGCCCTTTGAACCCCTAGCTACCTGTTCAATGCTACACCTTTCTGTAAAGGTAGCCGCCTTAGTCACCAGCTCCTTTGTGAGGAGAGTAGGGGAACTGGGTGCTCTTATGGCGGATCTGTCTTTCATGGCATTCCATAAGGACAAAGTCATTTTCTACCTGCACCCCAAATTACTCCCGAAAGTCCTGACACCCTTCCATTCTAACTATCCCATTTGTCATCTTCTCCAAACCCCATGCAGATAGCAGAGAGGCTGCATGTCGCAAACTGGACATTCGTAGAGCAGTCACATTTTATTTAGACAGAATTAGACAGATATGCAAATCACCAAGATTATTTGTATCAACTACTGAAAGATCCAGGGGCATGCCAATTTCCAAACAGGTTGTCCAGGCTCATAGACTGTATAAGATTGGCTTACCATACCTTGGGCAGAAACCCGCCGATGTAGCTATGTGCTCATTCTACATGAGCAATAGCAACTTCTTCTACAGCATACTTGAACAACATACTTCTGATGGACATTTGTAGAGCTGTCACATGAGCCTCTGCTCCCATGTTTACCAAGCACTATGCACTTGAAACTTACCTGTCTCATAGCGCTCACTTTGGCCAGTCAGTTTTAGCTGCTGTGTATAAAAGCAATCAACCGAAGTTCCCTCCTCTGAGCATGAGTACTGCTTCATAGTCATCTAATGTGGAGCTCCCACAGGGACGCTCCTCGAAGAAGAGAGTTACTCCTCTTGTGCAGTAACTGAGGTTCTTTGAGGTGGTTGTCCCTGTGGGTGCTCCACCACTTAATTTCTGGAGCAGGGAAGGAACAGGAGGGATGGTTGGTTGTGCATGCGGAGTAGTCTAACAAAGACACTGTTACCTAAATTCTTCAACAAGAGGTGCAGCGTCGCCCCAGACACTTAAGTTGGAGCACCCACAGGACAACCATCTTGAAGAACCTCAGTTATTGCACAAGGTGAGTAACTCTTTTCTCCAGGCTTCTGTTGATTATTGGATACAGTCTTCTGGTTGATTAGGATGATGTCTCTAACCATGCATTGGAAGTTGTGGCTCCAGTTCTCTGGATTTCCCTAAGTCCAATTCATAGTGAAGGATCTGTCCTTTGAAGAAGACAAAAATTGTTCAGTGAGAAGACAGATGACTCAAAACATCGACTAAAGGACTCCACAGCAGTCTTCTGTTCTCTTGGCATCTACATTGCAGGACCCTGGAGCAAACACCACAGATTCGACCACACAAGCAGTGACCAGCCTTCAACCCTTTTATCACCAAAAGTGGAACAAGCAACCCAAGAAGCAACCAAGAATACAGTAGCATAATATCTGTCCTTTCCTCTCTTACCAACCCTAGCCTCACATTAGAAAGCACTTTCAGTGGGATTTTCAGCTGAGCCTACACATGTCCATTCATGTCTGCTGCTGCCTCCTTTTAAAAGGTCATATGTTGTGACACTTATCATGAGTTGTGATACTTGTCATGAGACTTTGCCTTTGTCTGCAGCATTGAACACAGATAGTCTATAGCCGAGTAAACAGTTGAGACAAATCCTGCTATCCCAGAGTCAAAGCTTCCCTCTTCTGGTGGAAGAACAAGGAGGCAGTGTGTGTATGCTCCCCTTTGCCTTTCTGCCTACAGAGCCACTTCTCTAATCCAGTTCAAAATATTATAAAATTACTACTGTTATTGCCTCTGTACAATTTTTAACCTTGCAATTTACTCATTCAAAAATGTTACACATAAGTTTTCCACATTTCCCTGGTAAAAACGGATACAGAAAGCTCACTTTTCTTCTCCACTTGAGAGAGATTGGCACTTGTTCAGTCTAGCAAATTTTTAAGACTATGATGCACATCTGTTGCAATGAGGCTAAAATGAGTTTTAGTTTTAATTTTGTTTTCAACCCTAGACAGAATATACAGTTTGGGAATTCCCTGGTCTGGCACCCTTGGAACCTGAGGGGTCCTGGATCAACGGATGCCAATGCTGCCCTGCTCCTGGGCTCCTTTCCCTAGAGCTCCCAAGGCTGGGGCTCCCATCCTGCTGCCTACTCACTGCCACCAGAGTTCCCCCCCAGGTTCCAGCTGGGACCTCCTGGCTGCTTCCAGCCCCTCTGCTGCTGTTTGTTTCCCAGGGCTCCTCGGAAAAGGCTCCCTCTCATGAGGTTACCTTGCTGGAGCCTTCCAGCCACTCCAGCCCTGTTGCCACTGGATTACCAGGTTCCTTGGCCTGGGCTCCCTGGCTGCCTGGCCCCGCTGCTACCAGAGGATCCTCGGAGTTTCTCATACTCTGGCTGCCGCTGGCCCCATTGCTGGGGCCAGTCCTGCTCCCAGCGAGAGTTCCTTGGGGTTCCTTGACCCAGGACTGCTTGGCCGCTGCCTGGCCTTGCTTCTGCTTGGGGTTCCTTAGCTGGGGCAGGGGCTCCCAGTTTGCCAACTGGCCCCACTCATGGCGGGGTTTGCCTGGCCTGGCCTGGCCTGGCCTCTGCAGCTGCCACCTGGCCCAGCTGCTCTTGGCACAGCCAGGGCTCCCCAGCCCTACATTCTCCTGGCTAAATCCCACTCTTGGCCTCCCAGACTCTCTGGTCCAGCGCTATCTGTGGCACTGCCAGACTATAGATGTTGCCGTACCAGAGAGTCTCGGATTTGGGAGGTTCAACCTGTATATGATTTGGTTAGTTCTGAGAAAAGGTAGCTAATTTTCAATAATTAAGTTCTATCTTCTTTCCTTTCTAACCAGGCTGCTTTTGTCCGAGATGTATTGCTTCCAGGAGAATGGGATGTCTGTGTAACATCATATGAAATGCTTATTAAAGAGAAATCTGTGTTCAAAAAATTTAACTGGAGATATCTAGTTATAGATGAAGCCCACAGGATCAAAAATGAAAAATCGAAGGTAATTTAGATTTTACTCCAAGT